GGAAGCACCTGCTTGTGTACGTGGTGTGGCCATGGAAACCTGGGAAGGGGTTCAGGCCCCATGGCATCTGCCACAGCTGAGCGCCCCAGGACCCCAGGAAGGGACACCTGGCCTGACCTTGGCACTCAGAGGCACTGCCCTCAGAATGCGACGGCATCTCCCGGGACCCTGTGGGGACAGATGAGGAGCAAGGGTCTTAGTGCAGGGGCCGGGGTTGGGGGGGTGGGGGAAGGGCGCAGGCTCACGGACACGCCGCTGTGGGTGGGATTGTGTCTGAGGCCTGACCCCTTGAGGGGGACCTTATTTGGAAACAGAGTCCTTGGAGATGTGGTCGGGTTAACACGAGGTCGCTCGGGTGGGCCCTGATCCAGTGACTGAGAGCACGATGTGTAATACGTGTGCGTGGATCGGGGACGCGTAGCAGGGTGTAGCACAGCTGGGTGCCGCCGTGCAACAGCAAAACAGACCTGCTCCCTTGGCCTCGGTTTCCACCTCTGACATCAGGGTAACTGGTGGTTATGGGTCCAGTGAATTCGCTGGACAGCATGTGGCACAAAATAAACACGTGTTGTGTCTGAAAGTGACGTGGAACCGAAAAAGGGAAAATAAGACGGGAAGGGAAAGCTAGTGCCTGTCCTCCGGAAGCTGGAAGCCAATGAGCTTGAAGGAGCGGTCTGTCTCTGTCCTTCTTTCTCTCTGACTTGGCAAGTACTAAGGGAAGGGAGGGAGGGCTTCTCAGAGGAGGTGTCATTGGAGCTGAGACCTAAAAAAAGCTGGACTTTTCTGGTGAAGATGAAGGAACAGCACGTGCAAAGGTCCTGAGGCTGGGGAGTGGCCAGTGTCGCTGAGCAGGGGGAGGTGGGAGAGGAGTTTGGCACTGGGGAGCCACAGCAGGGGAGGGACATGATCGGGCGGTGTGCCCATCAGAAGGGCCACGCAGGCAGGGCTGCCTAGAGGCAGGGGAAGAGGCTCAGGCTAGAAATCCTGCCGAGGGAAGTTCTGGGAGGAAATTCACTTCTCCTGTCCTCCTTGCCTGTGTCCGCCTGGTCGAGCAATGGGAGGGCAGGGACCTGGAGGGCAGATTGCTGGTGTTGAGGGTCCAGGGGCCCACAGCCCACCTCTTGGTGGGGACCGGCCCAGCTGAGCCAACCACCCTCGTCCCTCCTGCAACCGGGCGCAGTGGTGAGTTGGGGCCTGGACAAGCGTCCAGCTGTGTGGGGCAGCCCTGGCAGGCCCCCTCGGTCGCCCCTTCCCACCCCCGGGCAGGAGAGTGCGGTGCGGTCCCCAGAGTGGAGTGGCAGTGACTCCGGGCTCAGCGAACGGCCTGTCCCTGGCCCCGGCCCGGTCATCCTATGCTGGCTGGTCACCCCCACCCGCCAGGTCCTTGCAGTGCTCTACCTGACAGATGGGGAAACTGAGCCAGATGATCACTAGGGCTGCCATTGGACACCCCCGGCCCTGGAATATGCATGTCTAACCTCCTCTCCCAGGACGCTCTCCTCTCCTCAAGTTTAGGAAAGCTGAGCTGTCTGGATTGAAATTCTCCGGCTGTGCAAGGCCAGCAGAGAAATCCATAATGCATTGTTTAGACAGATGCCTTTAAACCGCTCGGCGGGTGGGGGGGCCGGAGTGGGGGGATGAACAGCGATGGGGAGGAGGGACTGCACTGGGAAGGTCACCCTTTTTTTCTGCACAAAGGTCAGTAACAGACTGTTGCCAAGGCAACAGTGGGCTTAAAGATGGAGGCTTAAGACGAACAGAGGTTCCCCTCCCCTGCCCGTGCGAGGGGCCTGGGCCCAGGCTCAGGGGCTTGGGGGCCGGGGGCAGATCTTGGTCCTGCTCTGCCTGGGTCTGGGGCCCAGCTGCGGTCACTGTGAGCCTCGGTGTTCCTGGCTGTGGGATGGGAACAGCATCCACACGGAGGCAGGGACCCCCTGGCTGGTCTGGTGTTGGGGTCACCTGCAGAGTCCTGGGTCCTCTTGGGGGGGCGCAGGCTGGCAGGGAGGGGTCAGGGGCTCGGCCAGAACCCCCCATCTCACTGCCGACAGCACGTCCGCTGCAATGCCGAAGAGGCCAGCGTTCCCTGCGTCCCTTCCTGGAGCCTGGGGCCAGGGACCCAGCAGCCCCTGTGGATCCGAACCAGAGCGGAGGCTCAGATTGCAGACGTGGGGCAGTGATCCCGACGGAGAAGCCCCGGGAGGGAGTCCATGGGCCTGAGACCCTGGTCAGCGGCCACTGCCCCACCTGCGGCATCTGAGGGCCCCCCATGGCCAGCAGGAGGCCAATGCAAGCCGCCATCAGCTCTGGGGACCACGGCCTGGGCTGACTCGGCTTTTCGGCAGTTCCATGAGAACGGCATCATCTACACCTCTGTCTCTGGAGGGCGATCTGAACACCGGCTTGTTATTCACTGTCCGCCCCAGCGTCTCCTCCTGCTGTAGTGGACGGTGGCCACATATCCCTGTCCCTGTGAGGAACAGAATTAGGAAGGTAACTTCTTCATTGAGAAGAAATTCACACAACATACAATTAATCATTTTTAGGTGAGCAATTCAATGGCATTTAGTACATTCACAGAGTCCTGCAACCACCACCTCTATCCAATTCTGGAACATTCTGTCACCTCAGAAGGAAACCCCGTCCTCATCAGCCGTCACCCCCACCCCCTATCCTCCCCCGGCCCCCACGAGCCCCCTCCCCGTCCGCGGATGAGCCCGTTCTGGGCGTGTCACCCATGTGGACTCACACCCCACGTGGCCTTCCGTGTCCAGGTCCCTCCCTGAGCGTCCCCGCCCCCATCAACGGTCACTCCCCACCTTCTCCCCAGCCCCCGCCCCACGAGCCCCCTTCCCGTCCGCGGATGAGCCCGTTCCAGACGTGTCACCCACGTGGACTCACACCCCACGTGGCCTTCCGTGTCTGGCTCCCTCCCTGAGCGTCGTGGGCTCGGGTCCGACCCTGGGGCTGCGCGTGTGGGCGCCTGGCTCCTGCTCGCGGCTGAGTAGTGTTCCCGTGCATGGCTATAGAAAACTAACTTTTTTGGGGGGGATTTTACTTACTTATTTGTCAGAGAGAGAGAGAGAGCTCACAAGCAGGGGGAGGGGCAGAGGGAGAAGCACACTCTCTGCCGAGCAGGGAGCCTGACATGGGGCTCGATCCCAGGACCCCGGGATCGTGACCTGAGCCGAAGGCAGACGCTTCACCGACTGAGCCACCCAGATGCCCAGAAAGGTAACTTTTCTTGAAGGCTGTGTTGGATCAGGGTACCGAAGGCTGACGGGACTCACCCCCTGGGTGGGTGGGGATGCCCCAGGGAGCGAGGGCCCCCAACGGTGGTGGTCACAGCCACAGGCATCTGGGTTACTGCCCCAGGCTGTCCTGGGGACGCTGGCTGTGACAGGGCTTGTGGGCCAGCAGGTGGATTCGGGCAGACATGCAGCTGGTTTTCAGAGGTTTACTGAGCTCCTACTATGTGTTGGCCTTGTGCTCGGTTCCTGGAAATCGGGTCAGCGGGGCCGCACTCCAGGGAGGGTCCCTCTTGCCTCTCCCAGCTCCTGGGGGTGCCACCATTCCTTGGCCTGTGGCCATGTCCCTCCAGTCTCTGCCTCTGGGGTCAGGGGTGTTCTCCTCCTGTCTCTTGGAAGACACTTGTCATTGAGTTTAGGACCACCCTAATCAGGATGAGCTCACCTTGAGATCCTTCATAACATCTGCAAAACCACCCCCTTTTTTTTTTTTTAAGATTTTATTTATTTATTTGAGAGAGAGAGAAATGAGAGACAGCACGAGTGGGAAGAGATCAGAGGGAGAAGCAGACCCCCTGCCGAGCAGGGAGCCCGATGCGGGACTCGATCCTGAGACTCCAGGATCATGACCTGAGCCGAAGGCAGTCGCTTAACCAACTGAGCCACCCAGGCACCCCTGCAAAAACCCTTTTTATAAGTAAGCTCAAATTAACAGTTTCCAGGGTTTATAATATGGATGAATCTTTGGGGGGGTTGCCAGGCTGAGCAGAGAAAGGCCAGGCCTGCAGGCCTGGGTCTGCAAGGGGGCGGTGACCTGCAGCCACGATGTTTCAGAAGGCTCCGTGGCCCTGTCTAGTTAGTGGGCCTGGACTTGGCCCTTCTCAACTTCCAGGGGCCCAGATTCTCGGCCGTCACCCCGACCTTGGGGTTGGGGCAGCACAGGACACGCATGTCACCCAGGGCTTAGCTGTGGTGCTGGGTTTCCACAGCTCCTGGGATTCTGCACGTGGCTCGTGGGACCAGAGAAGAGGACGAGGCAGCTGTGTGTTCTTGGGTCCACGTTGGCCGCCTGTGTGGCTGGGACACAGGAAGCCTCAGCCCCGATGAGCAGCCGGCCGACCCTGGGCCTGTGGGTGAGCACCAGCTGCGGCATCTTTCTTCTACTCACCATCGTAACCGTCTCTAAGTGCACAGCTCAGCGGCATGAAGCCCACTCACACTGTCCTGCGAGCACCCCCACCCTCCGTCTCCAGAACGTTCCATCTCCCTAAACTGAGACTCTGTCCCCATGAAGCACGGACTCCCCACCCCCACCCTCCGTCTCCAGAACGTTCCATCTCCCCACACGGAGACTCTGTCCCCACGAAGCACGGACTCCCCACCCCCACCCTCCGTCTCCAGAACGTTCCATCTCCCCACACGGAGACTCTGTCCCCGTGAAGCACGGACTCCCCACCCCCACCCTCCGTCTCCAGAACGTTCCATCTCCCCACACAGAGACTCTGTCCCCGTGAAGCACGGACTCCCCACCCCCACCCTCCGTCTCCAGAACGTTCCATCTCCCCACACGGAGACTCTGTCCCCACGAAGCACGGACTCCCCACCCCCACCCTCCGTCTCCAGAACGTTCCATCTCCCCACACGGAGACTCTGTCCCCGTGAAGCACGGACTCCCCACCCCCACCCTCCGTCTCCAGAACGTTCCATCTCCCCACACGGAGACTCTGTCCCCGCGAAGCATGGACTCCCCACCCCCTGCCCCAGCCCCGGCTCCCACCCTCTCCTCTCTGTCTGTGTGGACGGGACTCCTCTGGGGACGTCCTGGGACTGGGGTCCTGCGGGATGTGTCCTTCTGGGTCTGGCTCCTCTCGCTGAGCCCGGTATCCCCAAGGTCCCTCCACGTCGTGGCAGGTGCCGGGGTCCCTTCCTTCCTGAGGCTGGAGCGTGTTCCCGTGTGGGGACGGACCGCGCCGTGTGTACCCCTCATCTGTGGGTGGACACTGGGGGGCTTCCCCCTTCGGGCCGCGTGACCCCTGAGGCTGTGCGCACGGGGCTGTGGGTACCTGCTGGAATCTCTGCTTCCAGTTCCCTGGGGTGTAGACCCGGCATCAGAATTCTGTTCACCTCTGGGGAACTGCCCAGCAGCTGAGTACAGTCCTGGCTCAGTTCACGCGGCCCCTTCTGTGCACGAGGTCTGGTTTCGGCCCCGAGCGCCAGGCCTCGTCGGAGAGACGCTATGTTTGGTTGCTGAGCCCGCGTCTCCCTCTGCAGGAGAGCCTGACTGGAGAGATCCCCGCACGGGGTGAGCTCCGAGGCAGCATTTCGGAGGCTGCCTCTCGAACGATGCAGCAGGTCAGTGTCCCTGACCCCGTGGCCTTCCCAGAGCTCTGCACCCAGGTCTGCTCTGAGCCACTGAGCATTCCCCGGGGCTGGGAAAGCGAATGACCACACGCAGGATGCCTTCAAACAACAGAAATTTATTCCCTCCCAGTTCTCCAGTTCCGGAGGCCAGAGTCCAACATCAGGGTGTCACAGGGCTGCCCTCTCTCCGAAGCCTGCGGGGGCCGATCCTCTGCACCTCCTCCGGCGGCTGGCAATGCTCGGCGTCCCTTGGCTCGTGGGCCCCTCCGTGACTCCAGTCTGCATCTCCGTGGACATGCGGCTTCTCCCTGTGTGTCTGCGTCCACATCTCTCTCTCATGACGGTTCAGGGCCACCTCCTCCAGCGTGACCTTATCTTAACTAATCACATCTGCAAAGACCGTATTTCCAAATAAGGCCCCATTCACAGGTTCTGGGTGTTGGGACATGTGGGGACCTATCTTTTGGGGGACACAACTGAACCCACAACACCGAGGGATGAGAAAACCCACATTCTAGAGATTAGAAATAATTCATGTAAACGCCACTGGGGGGAAAAATCCAGCAGATTCTTTTATTTTATTTTATTTATTTATTTATTTATTTAAAGATTTTATTTATTTGACAGAGAGAGATACAGCGAGAGAGGGAACACAAGCAGGGGGAGTGGGAGAGGGAGAAGCAGGCCTCCCGCGGAGCAGGGAGCCCGATGCGGGGCTCGATCCCAGGACCCTGGGATCATGACCTGAGCCGAAGGCAGACGCTCAACGACTGAGCCACCCAGGCGCCCCCACAGAAATATTTTTTAAATCCCAGGGTGAGGGAATGCTTTCTCATTGTGCTCTAGAAGCCAGAAACTATAAAGAAAAGAAGCGTCCGAGGTCTGAGCGCTGAGAATCCAAAACACATCACACACAGGGACGCACAGCGAGCGTCCTTCACATACAACTCGTCTTGGGAGCCAACAAAGACCAGCAGCCCCGGACAGAACGCGAGCGGAGTCGGTGAAAACGCGGTTCTCTGCAGGTGCAATGTGACGGGCGGCACCGGTGAGCAGAGGATTCACCTGCACGGAGCTGGGGTCTGTGTTTCGGGGGCAGGGGCCGCGGGCCTGGTGGAGTGTGGACGGGCTGCCATGTGTATACGTCCCGCGTACCGAGCATCTAGGAGAGACACACTGGTGAAAACAAACAACTCTTCACCAGCAGCCCCTATAAACCTATCTTTCGAAGTCTGACACTATGGGATGAAATGAGTCAGGCAGAGACAGGCAAACACGCGTGACCTCGCTACCGTGTGCGACCCATGCCAGAAGCCGAGCTTGTGGGTCCAGAGGACAGACCGGCGGCTCCCAGAGGCGGGGGCGCGGGTGAGGCGTCCGAGGGGCATCCGTCCGGTTACACTGAGAGCAAGCGCTTGGTCCTCCTGATGCCACTGGGTGGCTCGGTGCGGGCTTCCCAGGGGGAGGGGACGGGTAGAGGCGCATGGTGATGAGCGTCGACCCCACCTGCCGAGATCACTCTCAATGCACGCAGACACCGAGTCTTTATGTTTATGCCTGAAATGAATACGGTGCGGAGGTCTATTATATCTCACTTTGCAGAAAAAGGGCCACATCAAAGAAAGTTCAAGCACATCGGAGGGCAGGCGGCCGAGCACGCGGACGCCCGTGCTCCCCGAGGCCCAGCGCCCCGTGGCTCCACTTCGGAAACACGTCGGCCGAGGGGCGCCGCATCCAGGGATGTGCTGTGTGCCGGGCGCGGCGTCCCCTCCGGCAGCCAGCACAGCTGGAGGAATCCCGAGAAGCCACCCCAAATGGGGATGCGCGTCCACATCCAGCGACGAGGGGCAGAAACAGCCCACCAGGCAGCATGTGAAACACTTAGGACACGACCCCGCAGTTGCCGTGTGCATCCCTGGCCTTCCTCCCAGAGAGATGCAGATTCGTGTCCACTCAGAAGCCAAGCACGGACGTGCCGGGCCGCTTTACATGTGACAGCCCGGACGGGACCTGGCCCGCGAGCCCCTCAGGACACCAGCTGGTCCGTGCACCGCGGAATATTAGTTGACAAGACAAAGGAAGAAACTATGGCGGAGCCGACACACTGGCTGGACCTGCGGGTATTGCTCTCCAAAGACAGAGAGAACATTCTCACGGTGACTTACGGAGACGGACAGCAGTCTGAGGAGCGCAGGGGTGCGGGACGGCAGCGGGGTCGCTGGAGGGAGCGCTCTGTGTGGGCGGGATGCCTTGCATCTGGCCCGGGGTCGGGGGCAGGGCACACAGGTCTTCATGTCGCCTGCCAGCGTCCGCACCAGCTTCGTGACCGCCCTACGCGGAGGCACGGAGAGACCCGCCGGGGGGACGGGCACGGCAGCTTCCCTGCCCCAGCTTTGCAAGTTCCTGTGAACCTGTCACTATCTCTAAATAAAGAGTGAAATTAAAAAAAACCTTATGCAGCATTTGTGTAGAAACACAAGGTCCCTGAGGATGTTTGCGGGATGCTGACCCAGGTCCCTGGCCTCTTTCCCTTTGTCCTTTGTGCATTTCCGGAATTAGACAGTTTTTTCCAGGGTGTCCGGCCAGCTCTGTCGGGGGACCCTGCGGCTCTTGATCTCGGGGTCGTGAGTTTGAGCCCCACGTGGGGCACAGAGAGGACTTAAAAAAAATGTTTTTAAGGAGGACGTATTCTTACAACACAAAAAAGCAGTTGTACATTTTTGGAGGACGTAGGCCTAGATTTTGGAAGACGGTCGGATTCTCAGCGTGCTGAATGGACGGCCGGTCCCGTCGTTAGCTGCAGCCCCCGGGCCCGACAGTCCGTGATTTCACGGTTGTCACCGTTCCTCAGAGGAGGGTCACAGAAGGGCGGCACTAACCCAGCTCTGACAGCCGATTAGTGTCAGAGCTGGCCGGGGCCGGGGCGGGCGTCTGGACACCTGCCCTTCGGCCTCCCGAGCCCCCGTGTGCCCGGCCGCTCCCCGCAGAGCACGCCTCGAGCATCGCAGGAAACGTGAGAAACACAGAAAACCTGCCACGCAAAACCGCAGTGTTCGCCCCGAGCCCGCATGGGCGCCGAGGCTCCCCCTGCCTGAGCGTGCGAGCCCATGTGCACACGCTCACCCTCACGCGCGCCCGCACCCCGTTTATCCCTTGGCCCCAGGGACTGTCACACTCCTTCCCCCCAGGGCACACTGTCCTCCTCCCAGATGGGGCCCTGGTTTGCGTTCGCCGCCCCCGGGCGAGCTCGGACAGATGTCACCTCTCTGCTGCTCGCGGAGGCGGCATGCTGGCCGCGGGGAAATGGAGCTGCGCTTGGCGAGGCCCGGGTGATGCGTTCCCCACCGGGGCCGATTTAAAAGTCCCCAAAGGCAGGCTGAGAGTCTAAGTGGCAAGTGATTCTCGTCACGCTGAGCTCTGTCTCCCCCCAGGTGCTTCGTGGTCCCTGGGTCTTCCTCTGTCACCTGCTACCCGCCCGGGCTCTTTGCGTCCTGTCTCCTGGGCCGGGTCGGGCTCTCGCGTCCCGCGAGGTCGGCCCGCGCTGCGTGTGGTGTGGTTCGGGGCGCGGGAGGCGCAGGGCTGGCATCCAGCCACCGCAGGTCGTGGGGGCAGCGCTCTCCCGGGGTCGAGGGTTGCCCTGGACGCTGGGGGCAGACACGGCCTGTGCTGGAAGTGGAGGGGACAGGCGGCCAGGGGATAGGCGCGCGTTGGCTGCCCGCCCCGTCCCAGGCCAGAGAGCCACTTGCCCACTCCTCCTACAGGCAGGAAATACCGCGTCTTGTTCTGAGGCTTTTTCCTTTGGCTCCAAGTGAAATGCTGCCTTCTTTGCCCTTCTAGAAATTTTCCCCTGCCAACGATATTAAAGTCTTAAAACCAAGACCAAAAGCCCCAGCAAACCCTCTGCACGGTACCGCGCGGGAGCAGGCAGGGCCTCCCGGTGCACGTGCTGACGGGGGGCAGACACCCGGTGGGGCGGGCGAGCGGGTTGAAGTCAGGAGGGTGACATGGGATGACCCGAGGCGGGTTGCCGGTGAGTGACAACGGGCGGGCCCAGGAGCTCACGGTGGGGTCGCTTTCGGTACCCCGAGCTGCCTCAGGCCAGGGCAGCGACAGGGCCCGATGCTCAGCGGGGCCTTTTCCCAAAACACCGTGCTGACTGCCCGCGGGGTTGCTGGGCCCCAGGAGTCCTGGGGGGTGCTGGGGGGCAAGGCGGGGCACAATGGGCCCGCTGAACCCTCCCACGGTTCCTGTTCTCCTGAAATTGGACGGACACGGCTGCAGAAGGCCCCGGCCTCTCTCGTGGCGAGACAACAGCACAGAAAACCGGCTGTCGTCCCACGTTTTCTGCTGCCCCTGCCCTGTCTTCTGCGTCCCCAGGGCCACTGTGCAAATCGGGGGCGGAGGGCCCTTCCAGGCAGGCTGTCTTTGTCCCTGTCTTGTGTGTCCCTTTGGGGAGACAATAGGGGACACTTTCCTTCCCAGCCTCTGGACAAGGCCGGGTAGCAGCTCTTGGCCGACGGCGTCTGGGCACTTGAGGGCTCTCTGAGGAGAAGGGGGGGCCGGCTCCTGTCTTTGCACCCGCTGCGCCCCGCCGCAGGCTCCCCATCCCGTTCTGGCTGTCCTGCCCGGCAGAATCCTGAACCGTGACCAGTGTCTGTTTCCCCGTGCGGTCAGGGGCTCTCCCTCAATGCCGAGTGACCAGCTACGAGCGCGGCTGGACGCAGGGGACGGTCTCGGGCTGAGCGGCGAGAGGTAGAAACGCCGGCAGGTATCCAGGAGCCGCAGACCAGCTGGCCCGATGGGGGTCAGGAGGGCGATGGCTCGGGAACCTGCAGCCCAGCTCAGGGCCGTCCCCTTGGAGCTGCGGGATGCAAAATGATGGAAAACGTGGCGTTCAGCCGACCGGCAGACGCGGCTTGCGGGACTGTCCAGGGCAAAGACTCACAGGCGGCAATAAGCCAGAGCGAGTATCTCATCTAAAAAAGCAGCACCCCTGCCCCCCATCAGCCAGGTCCGGGGAGCACCGGGGTTTGCACATTTCTCGACCAGAGCTGGTGTGGGGGGCAGAACCGAGGGCAGACGTGGGCGCCCCGGAGGAGCCCCTTGGGCCGTCCCTCCCCGACCCCTAGGACGCAAGCGCCGTGACCACAGGCAGCCAGCACTTCTCAGCGGCTGCTGCTGCTGGAGGCTTTCTGCTAGAACCTGTAATAGTCACACAGAGCACAGAGCCACGAACGAAACTCACGGCCCCACACCGGCGTGTTCTCTCCCACGGGGAAGGCATAATCAGAGCAAAACTGCGGCGCATCCACCACGGCCGTACCCCAGCAACAATCAACCATCCGTCACCCCTCCAGCCCATCCTCACTCGGGTGGGTCTGACAGGTACACGGTACGTTAGGGATCTGGCCGCCCTGTGCCCCCCGCGGGCCAGGCCGTGTTCCTCTGCCTCGGGGCTCCTGCATGCTTCATCCAACCCGGCATGCGGGTCCGGAGGAGAGACGCCGGGTGCGTGGGCCCTGCTCACCAACACGATGGATTTCGGTGCTGAGTGGTGGTGCGGGTGCCTGGAAGGGTCTGTGCTCACACCCGGGGTGGTCCCTGTTGGCTGCAAAGTCCTGGGCGGGGGTGTCATGGCCCCTGCCTGGACCCCAGATCGCCCCACCTAGAGGACATCCTCCAGCCTGGCCAAACAGGGCTTTAGGAGGGCAGCTGGTGTCCCCGATCCTGTTGAATGCCCTGGCTCCCAGGACAAATTCCCCTCTAAAGTGGTCCCTGAAGGGATGCCCTGGTGGCTCAGTCGTTGAGCGTCTGCCTTCGGCTCAGGTCATGGTCCCAGGGTCCTGGGATCGAGCCCCGCGTCGGGCTCCCTGCTTGGCGGGAAGCCTGCTTCTCCCTCTCCCACTCCCCCTGCTTGTGTTCCCTCTCTTTCTCTCCCTCCCTGTCAAATAAAGTCTTTAAAAAAATAAAGTGGTCCCCGAAGTTTTCTTCAAATCCAGGTGAAACTTACATAACAATCCTTTTAAAGTGAACGGTCAGTGGCATTTAGTACATCCAGGAGGCTGGGCCACCAGCACCTCTATCTAGTTCCAGAACATTCCACCGCCCCAGAAGGAGAGGCTTCCGCATTAGCCGTCTCTCCCCCTCCCCCTCCCCAGCCTGCGGCACCCACTAACCCACTTTCTGCCTCTGTGGACTGGCCTCCTCCAGACATTTCACATCCGTGGAATCACACACTCTGTGCTTGCGAACGGTTTCTTTGCGTAAGAAGGTCCCAAACACTGCACGGCACATACTTACACTAAAAGTGATTTGTCGTTTATCTGAAACTCACGGTCTGCCTGGTGTCCCGGGTTCCTCCCTGCCACGGTAGGCAGCCTGCCTGCTCCGAGGTTGGGGCTCTGCTCACTTGTGGGGCCCTCCCGGCTCGAGTCTGTGCCCCGGGGGCCTGGTCTCGGCTGCTGGGGACTGGGGGCCCTTCCTGGGGGGTTACTCTTGCTCTGCTGGACGTTATCTGGAGAGGCGCAGGCATGAGCCTCGGCCGGCCCCATTCTCTGTGCGCCGGCTGGGATGGGGGGCGCTGCACCCGAGGACCCTGGCCTGTGGAAGGCTGGCCGCTGCCCGCGGGAGGAGCCCCCCGGTGGCTGTGGTGCAGAGAAGACCCTGTGTCCAAAAAGCGTTTGCACATGCCTGGAAGAACCAGGCTCCTGGCCCACCCAGGATGGACCCAGGTACGCAAAGGGCATCAGACAAACCTGCTTCCCAAATCGCATGCCTGGAGGTGAAAACGTAAACAGTCTCAGAGTTGCTGGGCGACAGGGAGATGGACGTCCACGTGCTGCCCGGGGCCTGGGACGCGTCACGGTCGCGTGTGGCATGGGGCGGTTCCACATCTCCCGGTACAGGCGTGGGGCCGCGACCCCCATGTCCAGCGTGCCGTGGCCGCTGGTCACCTGTGAACACAGGGCAGGGAGAAGCAGGTGGCTCATGGTTCCGGGAGACTGGCAGTCCGGTGTAAGCCCTCAGCTCTGTGACACGGCATGTCCCAAAGTGACCCGTCAGAGGCCCCCAGGGACCAACAGGGCCCCCTGCTTCACAGGCCAAGGAATGCCATGCTTTTAAAGCATTTTCCGATCTTTCGTGGTAAGTACTACTTTTAGTAACTCTCATTTTGAGGACAGTCTTATTTTCTGTGAGTACAGAAAAGCCGCACAGAGCCCCTGGTCAGCCGCGGGCCCATGGGGGCGTCCTCACTAGCGCCTCTTCTCCAGCAGGGCACAAGTGCTGACCGGAGTCCTGACTCCACTCACACGTCCTCAGTGTCCCCTGGTGTTCCTCTCGGTCCCAGGACCCGTCAGGATCCCACGCGACATCCCCTTAGGCCCCTCTGGGCTGGGACGGTTTCTTAGAGTAGCCTTGCGTTTTGTGATCTGGTCAGTTTGGGGGAGAGCTGGTCAGTGAGTTTACAGACAGTCGCTCTCCCAGGGTCTGCAGTTTCCCTCACGGTCAGGCTGGATAATGGGTTTTGGGAGGAAGATCAACATATCATACATATCGCGGGGCCATAAAGCGTTTTTCAAATTACAAAAGTCTTACATGGTGGAAATTTTTGAGGGAACAAAATTCAGAAAAAACAGTAAACATCCACTAAGCCAATTATACACGTATGCACATACATAATGCATGTATACACACACATACATTTTTTTGCATAGATATATATTTAAAGATTTATTTGTTTATTTCAGAGAGAGCACGCACGAGCAGGGGGAGGAGGCGGAGGGAGAGCGCATCTCCAGCAGACTCCCCGATGAGCGCAGAGCCCCACGTGGGGCTCGATCTCATGACCCCGAGATCAGGACCTGAGCAGAAACCACGAGTCGGATGCTCACCCAACTGCACCACCCAGGCGCCCCTGCGTACGCATATGTTTTCAAAAATAAAATATAGGGCGTCTGGGTGGCTCAGTCGGTTAAGCGACTGCCTTCGGCTCAGGTCATGATCCCTGAGTCCCAGGATCGAGTCCCGCATCGGGCTCCCTGCTTGGCGGGGAATCTGCTTCTCCCTCTGACCCTCCTCCCTCTCATGTTCTCTCTCTCTCTCATTCTATCAAATAAATAAAATCTTAAAAAAATAATAAAAATAAAATATATACTTAAAAAATTAAGACTATGTTTTTTCAGAAACTTCTTTATTGAGATGTAATTCACATAGCATACACATGCAATTCAATTGTTTTGGGGGTGTTCTGTCGTTTTTTGAGAACCGCGGTAGAGTGCCATTCGAACCGCCGTCCAGCGCGCGGTTCGGGCCGGGCGTTCCAGCCCCCGTGTCAGCCGGCGCCCAGCCCGGTCCCACGGCCCGTCTCTCGCGGGAACCTCGAGCACCCACCGGCAATGCAGCACCTGTTCTGGGACTTAAAGCCGGTATTTGACGAGAGGTCGTTGTCATTGCCGCTGACCCCCCGCCCCCGTGAAGCTGGCGAGCCCGGGACAGGTTCTCCCTCAGCAGCAACCAGCCCTGCGGCGCCTTGACCTCGGACCTCTGGCTCCGGAGCCGGGGGAGGGTACATGACCGCCGCTTGGGCCGCCGGGTCGGGGTACCTCGTGACGGCCGCCCTCGCTAACTAGCATGGGTTATTGATTTTTATTATTCTGGCAGAAGAAAGACACACTCCCTGGACCCAGTCAAACTCTCACCCAGTCAGAGCGACAGCCCCGGGCGGGGCACGCACGGCCAACAGCTTGGGGTGCCAGGAGCACACGGAGGTGGCCGGGACAGCACCCCACTGGGTCTGGGAGCCGGGCCCCGAGGATGCGGCTGTGCAGAGCCTCTGACCCCGGCCTGGCCCTCTGCAACCAGCACAAGGCCCTTCACGGGAGCTCAAGAAAGAACATTCCAGGGGCGCCTGGGTGGCTCAGTCGTTGGGAGTCTGCCTTCGGCTCAGGTCATGATCCCAGGGTCCTGGGATCGAGCCCCGCATCGGGCTCCCTGCTCCGCGGAGAGCCTGCTTCTCCCTCTCCCGCTCCCCCTGCTTGTGTTCCCTCTCTCGCTGTGTCTCTCTCTGTCAAATAAATAAAAAATCTTAAAAAAAAAAAAAAAAAAAAATTCCAGCAAAGCAGCCCTGGGAGGGAATGACCCGCCACAGACACCACGTGACAGCGCTAAGCTGCCCCGCCCCTTTACAAATGCCATGCCCTGGCCCCACAGGTTCCCCAAAAGGAGAACTGAGCTCAGCTCCAAGAACCCAGCCTCTCTTGGGGGGCCTCTGAGGTCAGCCCGCCCCTACCCCCCTTGCAGGGCTGGTGGAGTGTGGCTGGATGCGCGGCCGCCGGCACGTGGCCCTTCACACTCACTTCCCCCCGGCTTCCCTTCGGCCCCAGTCCTCCCTCCTCCAAAGCCCTTCCTCAAAGCCACATTCGCTTTTCTTGCTGCTTTGTGGTAAATGTTGAGTCTTACGGCGGTTTTCCACGGACAGGAGAACCGTGGAGACAGGAGAGCGCTGTCCCGTGTCCCCTGCACCCAGTCTTCCCTGTTCCTGACGCCTGGCATTACGTGGTGCGCCTGTCACGGTTACCAAGTCAGTATCGATGCCATCCAGGTGTCCCGTTTCCTCTCCCGTCCTCCTCTGTCCCCGGACCCGTCCAGGTCCCATGCGGCCTTCAGTGCCCGTATCTCCTTCGGCTCCTCTGGGCTGAGACAGCTTCTCAGCCTTTCTTGATTTTGGTGCCCTGGGCAGCCGTGCCGAGGACCAGTGGGGAGTTCTGCAGAATGCCCCTCTGCTGGGGCTCAGCGGGTATTTCCCTCGTGGTTACACTGGGGTGGGGGCTTCGGGGGGGATCCTTGGTCCACACCTGTTTCTGTGGGTTCTTCTGGGAACTTCTCGGGGCACCCAAGTGGCTCGGCTGCATTTAGGTCCTGGGGGAGGGAGGGTGTGAGAACACACCCAGCTCTTCTGTTGACAACGGAGGCTCTTTGGTTTTCTAAAGTTATTCGGTTTTGGAGCTTTGTGCTTTACTCATATTTATGACCTTTAAAAATTAAAGGATATCGCCTGTGTCTGTAATCCTAAATGAAATGTCTACTTTGCCCTGGTTTTCAACTTCAAATAAAGGGAATCATACTCCGAAAAAACAAAGGAAAACCTCAGATCCCAGAATCTAAAAACAAAAAGTAGCATCTTTGTGTCCTTAAACATACGCTCAAATGTTCTGGTCATTCATATAGATACTTTCAAATGTATGTCCTTTCTGGAATTTCAGAAGTAAATACTTTTTTTTTTTTTTTAAGATTTTATTTATTTATTTGAGAGAGAGAGAATGAGACAGAGCGAGTACATGAGAGGGGGGAGGGTCAGAGGGAGAAGCAGACCCCCTGCCGAGCAGGGAGCCCGATGCGGGACTCGATCCCGGGACTCCAGGATCATGACCTGAGCCGAAGGCAGTCGCTTAACTAACTGAGCCACCCAGGCGCCCCAGAAGTAAATACTTTTAACAGCTGGTGGCTTCTCTCAAGGACTTTTTTTTTAAGGACCATTTAAAAAGAAACTATGTACTTTTTAGCTGAAAAAGGCAGGACATCCACCGAGACCCTTTAGTGGAGATGTGCCCAAAGCAGCGGTGCTCCAGGAGCAGTCTTGCTGCAGGGACAGCAGGTGACATCTGGGACAGCTGTGGTCATCAGGACCGCGGAGGCGTGGGGGCCCGGGACTCTGAATGGCAGCACTGCGAGGCCGACTGAGCGTCCCCTGTGTGCATCTGCACCCAGATTTCCCCTTTTTATAAAAATACTCATTGGATTAGGGCCCCCCCTGCTCCAGTAGGACTTCATCTGAGCTAATTACACCTGCAGTGACCCTATTCCCAAATAGAGTCCCATCCTGAGGTCTAGGAGTCCAGCCTGTGAACTCGGAGGTCTCAGCTGGAGCCCCAAACCCGCTGTCTCTTGGTGTGGCTGGCCCTGCCCCTGTGCCCAGCTCGTCTTCCGGGTCAAGGTCTTTCAGAGCCCAGTCCTATCTCCTGGTGCATCTCTGGGTGAGGACCACTCACTTCGGGAGGAGGGTACAGGGCTGAAAGGCTTCCTTCCGATTCACCACCTCCAGCCCGGGAATGGTACTGTGCCAGGAGCCAGGAAGGACCCGGAGTTCTTGGAGGGTACAGTCCTGCCATGACCCGGGCAGGCCTCGTGCCTGCTACCTGTCCTGTCTCTCTCCACCCCCCGTGACAGAGACGGCTCCTTTGGGGAGCCACCCCACTGCTGCCTGACGCTTTGCAATTCCCAGGCCCCCCAAATAAGCGTGGGGTGTGGCAGCTGCAGGACCCCCTGGCTCCAGGGTTCCGTGAGCTCAGGGGGACCTCGTTTTAAGCCATGGCCCCTCTCAGCTGTCACCTCCTCTCACCCGGATGACTGTGGGTTCCATTAAGTCTGCATTTCAGGACAAACAGTGTTTTCCCGATGCTTCCGGAAACTTTGCTTGTCCAGTGGAAAGGAACACCCTTTCTTCTAACAAGGACACAGGAAGTCTGTCTCCCACATAGGGGACTCTGGCCTTGACACGGGTTTGCAGAAACACAATGTTCGGGGCCCCTGGGAGGCTCAGTTGTTAAGTGTCTGCCTTCGGTTCACGTCATGATCCCAGAGTCCTGGGACCGAGCCCCGCATCGGGCTCCCTGCTTGCAGGGAACATGTTTCTCCCTCTCCCGCTCCCCCTGCTTGTGTTCCCTCTCTCGCGATCCCTGTCCAATAAATAAAATCTTTTTTTTTTAAAGATTTAATTTTTATATATTTGAGAGATAGAATGAGAGACAGAGAGCACGAGAGGGAAGAGGGTCAGAGGGAGAAGCAGACTCCCCGCTGAGCAGGGAGCCCAATGCGGGACTCGATCCCGGGACTCCAGGATCATGACCTGAGCCAAAGGCAGTCGCTTAACCAGCTGAGCCACCCAGGCGCCCCT